TCTTAAACATAATTTCTTTGAATCAGCAAATAAACCAGGAAGGTGGTTGTCCCATAAATCAAAAATAGAGAAAGAGAAAAGACTAATTCAGCAACTCAAGGATGAGGAAGGGACAGTGTATTATCAGATGGAGGAGAAAAAGAGAATTGCGCAGAGGTATTTTGTCGAGCTTTATAAGCAAGAAGATGTTAGGGAAGAAAACATTAGATACTACTTGGAGGGAAACGGTCTGAGCCCAATCTCAGAAGAAAACAGAGAAGTACTTAATAAAGAAATAACATTAACAGAGTTACAAAATGCGATACAAAAACAAAAAAATAATAAAATACCAGGCCCAGATGGTCTACCAGGCGAACTATATAAAAATTTATTTGAAATATTTGAACCAATATTACTGGAACTATATAATGAGGCATTAATGCAAGCTAGACTTCCGAGGTCCTGGTCCGAGGCATACATCTCCTTAATTGCAAAAGATGGCACTGATCAACAACTAATTGCGAACTATAGGCCAATCTTGCTGCTAAATACGGATTATAAGATATTTATGACAATATTAGCAGAAAGAATGAAACCAATTTTGAGTGAACTTATACACACAGACCAGAATGGTTTCCTGCCAAATAGACAAATTAAAAACAATATTAGGACAGTACTAAATTTGATTGAATACTATGAAGCTCACCCAGAAAAACAGGCAGCTTTAATTTTTTTAGATGCACAAAAAGCATTCGACAATCTTAGTTGGAAATTCATGCTATATCAAATTAAAAAGCTGAATTTTGGCACTAATATAGAAAAAACACTACAAGAAATATATTCAAATCAAAAATCATTATTAAATGGAGATCGTACTGAAGATTTTGAAATTGCAAAAGGAGTGAGACAAGGGTGTCCATTATTGTCTCTGTTATTTATCTTGTCTTTAGAAGTGTTGCTAGCTACAACCAGACAAACCCCAGAAATTTATGGAATTAAGATTAGAAATGAGGAATTTCAGTTCAGGCATTTGCTGATGATTTGGTATTTATAGTGGAAGATCCAATGAATTCGGGACCAATATTGTTGCAACAAATAGAAAAATTTGGGGAAGCAGCAGGATTTAAAATAAATAAAAATAAAACTAAGATGATAGTCAAAAACTGTACAACAAAACAGAAAATAGAATTAGAAAATACAATAGGACTGCAAATAGTAAAAAAGGTGAAATATCTGGGAATTTGGATATCACCCAGATGTTCATCATTAAAAGATTCAAACTGTTGTCAAACAGATTAAGCATATCAGAAAAGAATTGGAATTATGGGCCAAATTGAAACTGTCTATATTAGGAAGAATAGCAACATTGAAAATGAATACCTTACCAAAACTAATATATCTATTCCAAATGATTCCAATTAAATTAGGGAAATCTTTTTTTATAGAACTAAATAAAATGACATCCAAGTTTGTCTGGTTGGGCAAGCGGCCACGTATTAAAATGAAACTATTACAAGATAATAGGAGCAGAGGCGGTCTCAGACTACCAGAATGGGAGCTTTATTATCAGTCAGGGATGTTGAGTTGGATTAAGGATTAGATTAAATTAAAAGACAAGAGAATCTTAACATTAGAAGGACATGACCTCTTGATAGGTTGGCATGCATTTTCATGGGAAAATAAAGGTAATATACATACCGATTTCAATCAACACCTAATAAGAGATTCATTGATTACAATTTGGAAAAAAATCAAAGGTAAACACTATACAGAAATCCCACGATGGCTGTCAACCATGGAAGCCATAATACATCCAAATAGATTAGACCTATGGAAAATGGTAAGCTATGAAGAACTATTAGATAGTCAAGGGAAATTAAAATCAAACCAAGAACTGAAAGAAAATGGAATTATAATCGAATGGTGGCCATATTTGCAAATTCAAAATAAATATAAAAAAGACTCAAAAGATTTTGGATTTGACAAAGGGCAGAACCAATTAGATAAAATATTAATGGGACCGGAACAAAAACTTATAACTAAAATATATAAATATTTATTAGATTTTAAAATGGAAGAGGAAATAGTCAAAAGTACAATGATTGCATGGGCACAGAATTTTGGATACACTATAGAATTAGAGGAATGGGAAAAAATATGGAATATAAATTATAAATTAACGGTATCTGCCGCATACAAAGAAAACATACATAAAATGCTTTATAGATGGTATTTAGCCCCAACAAGATTGGCAAAGATCTACTCCAATATGAGTCCTAAATGTTGGAAGTGCAAAAAAGTTGATGGTACATTTTATCACATGTGGATGTGCCCCGAGGCCAGGACATACTGGATTCAAATTAAAAATTGGTTAAAAGAGATCACTGGCTATCAGATTGAGCTCAGACCAGAATCCTTCCTGTTAGGAATCATTAAAGAAAGACTACCGAAAGAAGTAAAATACCTAGTGTTACATATCGTAACAGCCGCCAGAATAGCCTTTGCGCAAGTATGGAAAACACCAAATACCCCCAATGAAGAACTAATAATACACAAAGTAACAGAAAGTGCTGAGATGAATATGCTAACAATGAAATTGAAAGAAAAAGACGACTCTGAATTCTTTACCATTTGGAACAATTGGTATAAATGGCTAACAAACAGAACCAAGAAGTGAGACAAAAAATTTAATTGAAACAACCATTAAGAAAGTAAAATAAAATTTTGTAAACTATATAAAGGTATAAGAATAGTAATTATAGCTAAAGATATTATTTAATAGTAGATAAATGCAATATAATGTATTATGATATTTAAATCAAAATCTTATATAGATGCCAAGAATGTTGTTGATACCATGATGTTTTACGATGTAAAAAAAAAAGAAAATTAATAAAAATTATTTTTTTAAAAAATGTGACCTCACAACAGGCTATATAATGGATGTCCAACATCCAAAGATAAGGAATAATACAATGACCAAAGTTTACCATACATCCTATCATGATAGGAGAAATTACAAGCTGTCCAATATTCAGATCCTTTTTTTTTTCTTAGTTGAGCAAATTGAGCCTACAGCCTGCACATGGATTTTCCTGATGACAGCCTGAGACAGACTAAGACTCCTACAGAGCTTTGAAATTCTAGACTGACTTTTTAAAGGTGGCATCTGGAATACTTTCCTAATTCAAATAGTACATTTGACACTATTTCAGTTATCTTGATCAGGAGACCATGAGAAGCAAAGAGACCAATATAGCACTAGAATTCTTCCATCCAGTTGGTTGACACCCATCTGGAAAAAGACCCACCCAGTTCTGAGGAGCAAACTAGCACTATGACAATTTTTCTTGAGGCATGAAAGAGAAGATGCCTCATTATTTGCCAGCTGATGAATATGCCCTAAGAATAGTTACCATATGACCATTGGCTGACTCTGAGAGGCCTGGAATTTATTTATTTAAAATTTGTATGGGCATCCATCTTACATGGATGGGTCAAAATATAATAATAACAACAATGACAACAATAACCTCTAATTACAGAATAAGAGCAAACTATAATACAATAGCCAAGCCAACATAACAAACATACAATCCAACTACACCTTTATTGGAATAAACTAACACCTCCCACAAAGTGTTTGATATATTACTGCTAGTTGAAGTTGCAGCCACTGCATCATTCCCCCAATCATGTGATCAAAATCTTGTGGTTTGGCAGCTGGTCTGCATTTATGACCATCATAGCATCCAGCCATCATATTCTCTGCCCTATGCAAACAGTTTCCACTTCAAATCCCTGCAACTGAAACTATCTGAGACTGCCAGAGCTGCTGTTTCTAAGTAGAGTGCTGATGTGATGCTTCACTTAACAGTCACTCTTTGCTTAATGATGGAAAATTAGGGTTGTACCAGAGGTGGTATTCAGCAGGTTCTGACCAGTTCGAGAGAACCGGTAATGGAAATTTTGAGTAGTTGGGAAAACCGGCAAATCCCACCTCTGACTGGAGATTTTACAGTATCCTTCCCCTGCCATGCCCACCAAGCCATGCCTACAGAACCGGTAGTAAAAAAAATTTGAATCCCATCACTGGGTTGTATCCTGAGGACTATCTGTAATTCAAATTTGAGGGAGGGGACAGCTTATTTCAGAGGGCATTGATAGTTATAGCATATCTGTTCTGAAGGACTCAGGAGTTTTTGCTTTGAGCCATTTTGGCAAGACACATCTTCACCAAATAAATTAGTAAAGTGAAAGTAAAGATGACATTTTTTTTCATAAAAAAATGAGAGGGTCTTAATTTGAACATAATATAATTTGGTTTTCAGGAACATAAACCAAAATCATTGAGTTAGCACTGTCCAAAAATAGTGAACCTAGTAGTAATGCCTCACCAATCAAGATTAATAATATTATTCTATGTTCTCTATGTTCTAAATTGGGTGCTTCACAGCAGAAGCAATACAGCTGGCTGGACCACACATGCATTAAATTCAGGGCCTGTGTCAAGCTGCATCATTGTCCCATCCTGTATCTTCTTCCCCCAGGAAGAAACAAAAAGTAGCCAACACTGCAGCAGCTACAAACGGTCTTGGGGAACTCTAGGGAATATCAGCTGATCACAGAAATGTTACTTAATACAGAGGTTAATCCCATCCCTAGATGGGTCATTGATGGGTTTTCTGGGTGTTTTCCTGCCCTAATCCTGTTGTTTCTATTGTTTATTCAAGGTGTGTGCCAGCTGCATTCCTGCAGTTTTGTTATTGCAACTAAATATTTGCCTGTTAAGTTCTTGGCTGTCTGCTATTAACTGAAGGGAGAGAAAAGAAAAAAAATACACTCTTGCACTTTATTGTCATCCAGTTCTTAGAACTGCACAAGCAATTAGCTAACAATTCAGGTGAACCAGTGCAAACCGGCTGAATCCCATCACTGAGAAGATTGTTATATGAATAAGTTCATGTGTGTCTGGTTGAGTATGCCTGTGACTATACTTACTTCATTATTTTTTTTTGCAGATTGGCAATTTTTAAAAGACTGCACAACCAGTGCCCTGCTGAGTCACCATTTGACAGATGTTTAATTATCTAAACAGAGCAGCAGAATGACCACAGGTGGGCAAAAAACAGTGGAAGCAGGAGTGACTTCTGTCTTCCAGCTGGCTTCCCCATTGAATTTCTCTGTAGGAAGCTGGCAAGCAGTATAAGAAATCTTCCTTCCTTCCTCCCTTCCCTCCCTCCCTGACATGTTTAAGTGGAAGAGTAACAAAGCTGGAAGACTAACAAAGCTGGAATTGACTTAGAGCAATAGCTATTGCTGGGGAGGTTGTGTGATTTAATAAAGAATTTGCTCCATTGTGGTGTGTCCAATCTTTGGAAAGCAAAGAACCCTTTCAAGCTACATATATTTTTGTTTGCATATTTATTGTACTTTATATTAAACAAATTTTCCTTGAAACAGACACATGCATTCCTGCTGTATTTCAAAAAGACTAGCCTGGTGTCAGCCTATGTACTTCAAAGGATTATCATTCAAACTTCCCAGTTATATTCAAAATGGTACGCTGTTCAATTCCATGTTTTAATGAGGTCAGAGTATTCCAAGTGATTTCTTTTACCCACATTGGTGAAGCTAAACCACTAAGAAGGACACTTCTTTAATTTTCTGGTATTAGTTGCATAGTGAAATTTAAATCCTTTAACATTCAAAATGAATTTTGACTTCCAGTGGCAATTTTGTCGAGGATGGACTGGAGACCGCGATTGTGTGTGGCTTTGATCCATGCTGTTCCTGTTAAAGGGCTCCCAACGGGGCTAGAACCACCTTGGAGGGGTGGGGAAGAAGGGGGAGACTGCCTGTCGGGTTGAGGGGAGCTGCATCTCCCCTCCCTGGCTAGGTAAACTCCCCCCAAAGACAGGCTGCAGTGGTGGCTAAACATGGCCACCCTGAAGATGGAGAGCTATCTGGGACAAATATTGTGCAGGAGCGGTGAAGAAGCAGACAGTTTGGAGACCAGGCAAACCAGGTGCAATATTTGAATATAAAGGTACCCCGGATGTAAAGTTTTAAGAGACTTGTAAGAAAGATTGGAAAAGTGGCGACTAGAGGGAGTGGTGAAAAAATTGGATATAAGGCTTTGAACTTTAAAAAGAGTTAAATTGAAAGAGGAAGCTAGAAGAAAATATCTGCTTAAATTGGATTATATTAAATTATATGATATTAGCACTAAACAGGCATAATTAAAAGCTGAACTTGAATGTGCCAAAAAGAAATAATTCTTAACAATTGGATTTATTGGATTATTGAAACTTAAAAGCCTTAAAAGGGAAAGGAAAGTGTTGGGACGATCAGACCATGATGTGGAAGAGAAGGGAGAAATGAGTGATGTGGCAACAGTTAAAGGAAGGAAAAAGGTCAAGGGAGGAGGCAGGTCACTTTTTACAGAGAAAAAGTGTGGAAGAGACAAGGTACAGATGATGTGGTTGTGATTCAAACCTGGAACAATCAGTATGTACCAGATTTGTCACTACAAAATAATTCTGCCTAAAATACATGTTTCAGTTTAGACACTGGCTATCTAAAACTAGCTGTTTGGTGCATAGAACAGATTATGCATGACTTGAGAGGGTGGGGCTGATGTCACAACAACACAATGAACAATCTTGGGACTTCGGGACCACTGTCAACATCTTCACAGCTGGGTGGTCCTTTTGGATCCGAATTGTCCCATAGAGATGGTGGCTGAGGAAAGCACATCATGCTGATCCCAGGGACATCGCAAAGTCCCTGGTTGATCCAGGAGAAGCTCTTCATTCCGGCTGTGGAAGAAGTGGCCATTGAAGCTGCTGAAAGGTTGGGACAGTCCAGAACAGAAGAAGAGGAAAGAAAGTATGTCGGCTTTGGGTGAGATTTAACTAACTTTTTTTTTTGGTGGGGGGGAAGAGAACACCCTAAGGGGGAAAAGAAAAATATTGAAGACAGAAGAGGGACAGCAGCGAAAATGAGCCTGATGTCAAACTAATTTGACTTTTTTTTTTTGTTTATTATGCAATATACAAAATGACTTCTTTTTTTAAACTGGACTGGACTTTTTTAATTAATAAGCAATGAAGAATTAATATTAACATCTATTTTAAGAGAGAACTTGGTTTTTTTTTTGTTAGTGTTCTTTGTTCTAAAAGGGAACTTTAAACTTTTTTTTTCCTGTTTTGGTTACATTGTAAAATAGAAGTGAAAGTTGAGGCAACACACCTAGAGGTTTAAAAAAAAATTTCTATTAATGGAAATAAAGGAATGAACTTTGAGGGAAACTTTCCAGACAGACTATTTACACTTTGAGAAGATAGAGAGCTTTATGCAGGTGTTCCTCTTGTAAAACAATCTCAAGAGCTGGAGACTGGTGTTGAAAGGAAAGAGCTTATTGTGACCTTGAATTTTGCTTTGCTGAAACTTGTTTAAAATTTGATAGTGAGCTTTGGACATTGTATGGCGGCAGTAGTTTGCTTTGTGACAACTTTCAAACTGCAAAACTTTTTTTTTCTTTTTATGCTGATAGCTGCGCCTGGCCTTCTGCACCTTCTGGTTTTCTTTTTTGTTTTATTTTTCAATTAGACCTCGACTTCACTGCTGGAATATAACTTTTTTCTTTCTATTTTACCCTGTTGTTTTTTTTTTAAAAAAAAAATCTGCTTTTTAATATCACTGCTGGATTACGTTTGTATTCTTTTTCTTTTGTGGGGGGGTTCCTCTATGGAGTTGATCTTTTTCTCTTAGATAATTTTTATTTTTAATTTTAATTTTATATATTTCTCCCTTTTTAACTGGATTAAGGTAAAGAAGAACCTGAAGATTGTGTATTGCTGTTGCAAGCTGTTTCTTCTTTACTGACTAGACTTGTACTTAACCTGAAATGAGGAAGACAACTGCCACAAGCTCATCAATACCCATCTCCTCCTCCCCACTTAGTGGCCAACAATCAATACACATGATGTTGCAACAGGAGAAAGAGAGTGAAAAGGAAAAAGAGAAGGAGGTCACACTACAAATAATAATGCAAGCAATACAAAGAATAAAAGATAGAACAGAGAAAGCAGATGAGAAAATAGAGAATATACAACAAATGATAACGAAGAATGAGAAAGATTTCAAAAAATAGAAGAAAAAGGTGACCAGAGAGACAAGAAAATTGGTGAAATTGACAGTAGATTGACAGTTGTTGAACATGACAAAGGAAGCTGGGCTGGGAGATGGATACGGCAGATTTTTATCTCAGATTTCAAAACATAGAAGAAGAAAAGGGAGGAAACCTTGCTGAAATAATGATAGAAATACTGGCAGATGCTTTGAAGATATCCAAAGAGAAAATGATGGATGGAATAGATGAGGTGTACTGAGTCTTTACAAGATATGAAATGAGAAACAAATTACCTAGAGAGGTCCATGTAAGATTTACTAAGAAAGCAATCCACACACAAATATTATAAAGTGCAAGAGATGAACCACTGAAATACAAAGGCAAGGAGATTACAGTCCTAAAACAAGTATCAAGAAAAGTGAGAGAAATGAGAAGAGAGTATCAATTCCTGACAAAAATTCTAATCAAGAAAGGAATGAACTGTAGATGGCTGATTCCTGAAGGCCTTATATTTACTTGGCAAGAGCAAAGACACAGATTAGATTCAGTAGAGAAAGTAGAATTATTCTATGGAGAATATTTCAGAGGAAAAGAAGATAAGAAATTAGGAGAGGAAGAAACAGTTAAATTCAAGAGGAGATGGCCAAAGCAAGAAACAAAGCAATGCAAGAAGAAACGACATGTGAAGAAGGAGCAGTAGGTGGAAGGGTGGAGCTGAAGTAAGGGAGCAAAGATCTACAAGAGCTATAAATCCTACATATAAAGTATAAATAATGGAAGAAAAGAAATTGATTACAACAAATATAAATGGATTGAATTTGGCCATTAAAAGAAAGAAAATATTCCATAAATTAGAAAAAATAAAATTAGATATAATCTGCTTGCAAATGGGCTTTGGTGAAAAATTTACTAAAGCCATTGAGGCAATATACTATAAGCAATCTGCCAAAGAGATTTGACAGATAAGATTAATATCAAAAAAGGAACTAGGCAAGGATGCCCACTGTCACCTCTGTTGTTTGTTCTGACGTTGGAGGTATTAAATAGAAATATTAGAGATGATAGTGAAATAAAGGGAATGAAAATAAAAAAGGAGGAATGCAAGTTACAAACATTTGCAGATGATCTGGTTTTTATATTAGAGGAACCTTTGAACAATGCCTAAGTTGATAGAAAAGATTGAAGAATATGGACAGGTGGCAGGATTGAAAATAAATAAAGAGAAAACTAAGATTTTGGTTAAGATTATGGTTGAAAAACAAAAGAAAGAGTTTATAGAGAGATTGAATATCCAGATCACAAACAAAGTTAAATATCTAGGAATACAATTAACAGCAAGATGTGGAACACTCAAAGAAGATAATTATTATAAACTCAAACAACAGATTGCGACAGACCTAAAAAAAATGGGAAAATTTACAATTATCTCTAATAAGGAGAATGTCTACAATTAAGATGAATATATTACCAATGATTTTATATTTGTTTCAGACAATTCCAATTAAACTAGGGAAAGAATATTTTGAGGACTTAAATAAAATAATACTGAAATATATATGGCAGGGAAAGAAGGCAAGAATTAAGTTAAAGCTGTTACAAGACGCTAGAATAAGAGAAGGTTTTGGTTTACCCAACTGGGAATTATATTATCAGGCGGCAATATTGATGTGGGTGAAAGAATGGATAGTCTTAAGGAATACTAGATTGTTAATATTAGAAGGTCATGATCTATTACTGGGATGGCATGCCTTTTTATGGTACAAGGAAAGTAAAACACATGGGTATTTACATTCAAGATGCTTTATTGTTAATTTGGGAGAAAATAAGAAAACAACATTACATGAAAATACCAGTCTGGTTGTCAACTATAGAGGCATTTGCATATCCAATTGTTTATGAAATGGAACATACAGTTAGATATGGTGAAATATTAAATGAAAAGGATGAACTCAAATCTAAACAAGAACTAGAGAAACAAGAAATAAAGATGAACTGGTATTCATATATGAAAATACATTCTAGATATGATAAAGATTGTAAAACAGAAGGGTTTTATAATGAATTCACTG